GGGGGCATGAAATCGCTGCAGATGCTTCAGGGGTGAGGCCCGCTGCCCGCTTCCCCGGGGCCAGTCCTGCCTGGGGCGCCCGCGAGGGGTCCCTGCCTGGTCCAGCGTGAGCGCGGGGGGGTGGAGCGCGGGGGCGGGGACGGGAGGGAGGTGGGCCAGTGGCCTCCCCGAGAAGGGGCCCCCACTCACCAGCCGTCCACCCTGGTCGAGTTCCCGCCAGCAACGCCGCTGGGCAGCTGGGCCACCTCGGGCAAGTGGTCTCACCTCTCTGAGCCTCACACCCCAGAAGGTCAAGCGAGGTTCTCTGTGCGCCCGGGGCTTGGACTCACCTGGGGACCAGACGGGCATCGCAGCTCTCTGGACCCTGAAAGGGCTGCGGGACGGCAGCCATGTGGCCTTTGGGGGAGGTTGGGGGTGGCGTGGGAAGAGACCCCCGACGGCCTGCTGTGTCCCCCAGGTCACCCTAGGGCCCTTCCCTGGAGCGGCCTGCCACCCGCGGGACCCACCCCCTTCATGGAAAGCCCCACGCAGTGGCCCCCTGGTGATGGCCTCCGACAGTGACGTGAAGATGTTGCTCAACTTCGTGAACCTGGCGTCCAGTGACATCAAGGCGGCGCTGGACAAGTCTGCGCCCTGCCGCCGCTCGGTGGACCACCGCAAGTACCTGCAGAAGCAGCTCCGACGCTTCTCCCAGAAGTACTCGCGGCTACCCCGGGGCCTCCCCGGCCGGGGGGCCGAGCCCCACCTGAGAAGGGGGCCAGAGGACCGGCCAGGGAGGCTGCCCCTGGACGGCCACGCCCCCAGCCCCGGCCTGGGTGGAGGCTGCCAAGAGAAGGCTCTGGGGAACTCGGACAGGGAGGAGTGTCCATCCGGGGAGCAGGAGCCGACCCCGCAGGGCCAGCACCCCGAGGGCGCCCTGCCTGGCCAGGTGCCCATGAGGAAAAGACAACTGCCCGCCTCCTTCTGGGAGGAGCCTCGGCCTGCCCACAGCTTCCCAATGGGGCTGGAAGGGGGCCTGGGTCCCCGGGAGGGGGCCCCCTATGAGGGGAAGAAAACATGTCAGGTCTTGGAGCCTTTAGGGCCTGAGATGGTCCCCATGCCACTGTCCCCACGGGCATTGGCCGAGAAGGAGTTGCTTAAGATGTCTGGGGTGTCCCTGGTGGGTCACATCAACGCCTGGGGCTGCTGCCCCTTCCAGTACCATGGACAGCCCGTGTACCCGGGCCCTCCCGGAGTGCTACCACAGTGCTCCGTCCCCAGCCTGGGCCTGTGGAGGACAAGCCCTGTGTCCCCCGGGGAGCTCCCTCCCTTCTGCAAAGATGTGGACAGCCAGAAAGTGCACCGCCCTGTGGTCTTGAAGCCCATCCCCACCAGGCCGGCTGTGCCCCCACCCCTCTTCAACGTGTTCAGCTACCTCTAGCCTGGCCAGAGGACCTCAGCCCCCCTGCAGTAGCCCAGGGCGAGGTGAGTGGGAGTGGTGGGCATCTGAGCTTCGCAGCTGTGGGGCCTCTCCCCCTTCAGGTGGGAGGGGTGAAGCAGGATGGGGCAGGGGCAAGGGACACTTGGGCGGTCACCCACTTGGCTCTGGCAGCCCTGGGTTTGACCGTCCCCTTCTGCCCCCAAGCCAGAGTCCACCTGCAGCCAGACAGGGTGGTGGGAGTGGCCCTTGCCTGCCTCCCGGTCTGGCCCCAAAGGCAGAGTTCCACAGCTGTTTGCCACCACTGTGCAAATCAGTCTTAGTTATTATTTTTGTTCTTTGTAAATATTAAGAAAGTTAAAAGAATAAAGACATTTCTTTTGCAGTTTCTACAGCTTGGCCGTCTTGACGTTGAATGGGCTCGCTGGCCTGGGTCTCGGGATCTCTAAGACCAGCCAGTGTGGAGACGGGGCAGGCAGGGTGTGGGCCCAGGCTCTGATCTCCTGTCTTTGATCATCTGTCTTTTAACATACTCTTTGATTCTCTCTCTGTTCATAGACCAGGAAATTAAAAAGATGCAATCCTATATAGTGAACGCAGATTCCCAGGTTAATGACCAGTCACCCTCTCTACGGACTGGCATGGCACCTGGCACACTGCAGGCACCCGTTCAGGGGGTGAGGTATTCTGGGACAGTGCTGAGAGGAGGAACTGGGGACAGACAGGGAGCGGCCAAGGTTTACTCTGAGGGCGTCCAGCCAGGACGGCCACCAGAGGACCTCTCCCTGCACTGGTGCCCAGGGCTCACCTCACAACAGAGCGTGGACTGGTCAGAGGTGTTAGCTGCTCACTGGGTCACTCGCACAGTTTGTAACTGGCATGCCTGGCATGGGAATAGCCCTGGCTGGGACGATGATTCCCAAACCAGTGGTGTGATGCTGGACATTTTAAACCCCCTGTTGCTCAGTTCCACATCTGTAAAATGGGAGACTAGCCTGGGGAGAGTCAACAGAGGCACCTCTGTCTTCTGCGCACAGTAGGCATCATCAGCTACACGCAGGACTCTGGTCTCGGGGTAGCAGGGGGTCCCAGTGGTGGCTCCCTGGAGCAGGAAACCCACACAAAAGGCCTCCTCACTCTCAAGGTGGCCGGGAAGGATGGGATGGAGGGTGTGATGCTGGTGGCCTCTGTCCAATGCCTGTGGAGATTCCAAAGTCAAGAAGCTGGCATGTCACAGGCATCTGTAGCAGTTACCTGGCTTGTAGCATGAGGTCCTCAGGTGGGCGCCTCACCCTCAGATGGACCCAGTCTTAAAGTGGGGAGCTGCCACAGAATCGGTCCCTTTGGGTCCACTCTGACACATCAGCTCTGCCCCTGCTAACTGCTCAGCGTTTATATAGAGTATGGGCCCCTGGACCAGCTGAGTTAGGCTTGAGTCCCTCCAACCTCTCTATATAAGTGCTAAAACCCTGCACACACCACCACGGTGAGCCGGTGGCATCTGGGCATCCTGTTGTATGTCAGGTGGTTGTTGTTGGGTGTCATCAAGTCGACTAAATTAACGCTACCCGTGAACAACAGATCAGAACTTTGTGACATATTTTCTTAGTAAAAGTTCACAGCTGGTGTGATCTGTGGGAAGGGGGACCCAGACCTCAGCCAACCACAGTCCTGGACCAGGACCCCAGCTCCCAGGAGGCAGAATTCCTCAGGTGCTGCCTGGGCCTGCCACTGAGCCCGGCCTGCCCGTACTCACACCCACTCAGGGTTCACCTTGGGATCCATTCATGCAACAAAAGGCTTCGTCTCCAAATCACCACCTTTACAAAGATGCTGTCCAGCAGACCACATGGTAGCCGGGAATGCAGGCGAGATGAGAAAGACACATACACACCAGGAAAGCTTTGGTGCTGAGGGGGAGACACAGCTGCAGTTACAGCAGCAGATACTCAAAGCCCCTGAACAAAGAACGAACAGTGTCACTTCAGAACGAGCTCCAGGCCAGAATCCTCCAACGAGTCAACCCCACCATTGGGTGGAAGCCCACTCCTGTCCCCAAAGGAGCACTGGCCTGGGGCCTCACGTCCAGGATTTCGAGTTTTCTGTGATGCTGTGGCATAGCGGTTGCAGAGGGCAGCCAATTGAAAAGCTGGCGTTTCAAAGAACGAGCTGTTCCACGGGAGAAAGATGTGTCAGTGGGCCTGGGACCCTCTCTGGGCAGATCCACGATGCCCTAGGAACAGATCAGGGGTCTGCTCAACGGCAGCAGGTGATGCCTGGGGATGTTCCTGAGCCTGGACGTCCTCTCAGGGATGGAGGGGTGTGCGGCTGCTCGAGAAGTTCCTGCAGACAGGGACTCCACAGCAGCAGGAGTCTTGGTCAGAGGTGGTCTTGACCTTGACAGGAGTGATGGAATGAGCCACCTGAGCCTTGAGCACAGCTTACTCAGACGTGGTCCTCAGGGTCAGGTCCAGGGGTGAGCTGAGCAGCAAGTTTTTGGCTGCTAGGTGGTGGCGGAGGGTTCTGAGATGCCAAGGCTGGGCAGAGCTCAGAAGGGAGGGAGCACAGGGGCCTGGCAGCGCCTCTTACTACTTGGTCTGGTTGTAGATCCATATCTAAGAATCTGAATGGGGTACCAGTGTGTCCCTGCCCAGAACAGAGTGAGGGTCCCACAAATAGTGACTGTACAGAGTCCAGAGGCCGTGCCTCTGCTCCTCACATCTTCTCCCATCAGCCTCACCCCCTGTGGAGGGTGCCTCCTGCTCCCAGTGTCTCCTCTCTGACCTGTGCCTCCATTTCTCAGCTAGGGAGAGACCGTGGCACCCCCTGGTAGGACCTGAGCAGGTAAGGTGACCCTGTGGAACATCTGCTTTGGGAGTTTACCAAATTCCCACGCGCCCCCATGTGCAGCCCCTTCTCGTGCCATCATCCCTGCTGTGTCGTCTGAGATTAACTACTTCCCCCCCTGAGCTGCTGGTCAGCACAGGTCCTTCTCAGCAGAGCATCCTCCTAATCAAGAGATGAGATCAGCCCTGAGTCCGTGGGATTGAGCACCCCGATGTGACAAGAATGAAGGGGCGCAAGGGTCCTCACAGGCTCTACCTGCTCAGCAGCAAGGCAGCCTGGGATCAAGTCCAACAGCGAAGGACTCAAAGCCCAGGGCCCGCTGTGGGTGTGTTCAGGTCAGCCCCTTTTCCTCTCGGAGTCTGTTTCCTGTTTGTACTATGAGAGAGCATCTATGGCGTGGAAATAGTACTTCATGCTTATCCTTGGATTTTATCGATCTCATAGAAATCCAGCAGGGTAGAGTCAGCAAGGCCAGCCAGGGGTCACCTAGCACCAGGCTCTGCTGTACAGATTGGGAAACAGAGACTCTGGAGGAGCTGCCCAATGGCAGAGCCAGGAGAGAGGCCAGGTGGTTGGTGGACCCTGTATCTGACCTCCCTACGGCTGTACCCGGGTACCGGCCCTCAACACGACCCTCAGTCAGGAGCCTGCTCCAAGCGCACTCCACAGGGGCCCGATCGCAGGGGCTTTCAGCATGTTTGCAAAGACTGCTGCAGAGGGCTGCAGTTTCCATAGCAACAGGACTCAAACAGCTTCAGGACCCGGCCCAGCCCAACCTAACCAGTGCCATCGGCCCATCAGCCTGCAGAGGGAGGTCATGGAGGGAACAGGATGGTCAACCCCCAAGTTCAGAGTCAGCCAGGACAGTGAGTGACGCTGACCACTCTAGCACGTTAGCTCACAGAAGCATCTAGATCATTTTTATTGGGGTTTTTTTTTTTTCTTTCTCTGTGTCTCACTTTTGTAACAAAACATGTGTGAGCAGAACATAAAAACAAAGTGCCAGGGAACATGTGTGTGCAAGACAACCCAGGGGGCCTGTGGGCACCGAGCCTCTGCTCTCGATGAAGCCCTGTTTCCCTGGAGAGTGAACCAGGAGGGAAAATTCAACAAGGCCTGCCGCTCCCCAGTGGCCGTGGGGTCTCTTCTGGGGAGTGAAGTCCTTGACCTCTTGGTCATTCAGAAGCCCAAACAAAAGTGACTTATAACTCTAGCCCCCACCCCCTCCAGAGGAAGGAGCCTGGAGCGGGGACTACGCCAGGTAGTGCATCATCTACGGCATTTACCATGCCGTACACAGCCGGTGGGGACCAAAGGCCTTTCACAGCCCTGGGCTGCATTTCTTGGGAAAAACAAACAAACAAACAAAAAACCAGGTGAGGTGAGAGGCACTAAAGATTGGCAGTGAGGCTGTCCAGGCGGGCAGACTCGTCTCTAAATGTCGTCCATCAATTTGGAAGCTGAGCCCCTCACCTGAGCTGGCTCTTCCAGCCCCGGAAGCGGAGTCTCTGCCATTCCTGACAGCAGAGACAGTCGGGGGTCAATTCACTGATTTGAGAACGAACATGTCTTCTCTCCTACTCGATGCAGTCCATCCTCTGTTCTGGACAAAGCTCTGGCCCACAGACCTCTCGAGACCACAGCACAGCCCCAGCCCCGGGGGGAGGCGGCCTGTAGCCTCATCTGTCACCAGGTCCCCTTGGACTTGGGGACGCCACCATCCTGAGACAAACTGATTCGCCGCAGCTTCACCAGCCCGGCCTGGTTACTGGGTGCTCTCATACTTCAGATATCTGATCATCCTGCCAGGTAGTGGCAGCGTGTCCAGGAGTTTTATCCGGTATTTCCCAATGGCCTTTCGCACCTGCAGCCGGCAAAGGTGCACCAGGGGTCTCGGAGGTTCTGGGAGAAACAGGAAAGGAGAGATGGTGATGTGTCAGCTGTAATCTGAAAAGGGTTTGCATCTACCCTCCTGGCCTTAGAAGGCATGCAGCTGAAATGGTTATATCGGTAAGGAGCATAAACCCAACGCCCCTACCAACTAAAAACACCCAGCAAAGCACCTTCCACCCCGTCACTCCTTATCGATCCCCACAGAAATAGAGGGGTAGGTACTAAAACCCATTTCACAGGAGAGAAAATTGTGGCTTAGTAAGACAACAGGCTGTGCCCAAGCTCACAGCTGGGATGGGTGTCTCCATCTCTTGGCTCCTCATCCCGTGCTCTGTCCTCCACACTCAGCCATTCCCCCAAACACAGCCTCAACAAAGGGTCAGAGGGTGGGTCCTCTAAGTGTCCCCATGACATGGAATTCTCTGAGCTTCCTGTTGGTGCTCAAGAGCCAGGGTGCAGGGCTAGGGACCAGGGTGGGCAGCTCCCAGCAGATCACAGAGTCCCACTGGACCTTCTTCCCCCTGAGCTCTCCTGGGATACCTTCTACAGTGGAGTTTTCTCAGCTGGGGCAGAGGGGGAGGGAGACAAAAGAGGGAGGGGAGAAGGGACTAGACTGTGACGGGTCATTTGTTTCAGCCTTGGGCATTAAATAAATGACTTGGGTCATTCATTTGTGCTTGGCACAGCAAAGGTGTTTGTGAAGTCAAAGAATGTCATTCTCCCATTTACTCCCTCACACAGGCATTCAACAAACTTGGGCTGAGCCTCTTTCTTGAGTCTGCCCCTGCTCTCTGGCATGAGATGCAGAGGGGCTTGCCCAGGGACTCCGGGGGGCCACTGGCCAGACGGCACCACCTGAGCTGGGTCCTGAAGGGTGACAGGAGTTTCCTCAGCAGGGGTATACGAGCAGGAAAAGCAGTGAGGAGTAACCAGGGAAGCCATTGTGTGTCCAGGAAGACGGGGTACAGAGAGTGTGGAGGCGGTGAAGGGGCCAAGCAAGCCAGGAAGATCAGAGCATCTCTCAGCAAGGTCTATCAATAAGGGAGTCCATGCACAGGAGCCCCTGGGCTGGGCTAGAGCAGTGGCCATGATAGTAATACCACTGTATCGGACGAAAGGCCACTTGGGAGAGGGTTATCAGTTGGAAGCTGGGCTTTAGCGTGGCCAAGATGGATGCTGGGTAAGAACTCTATGTTCTCCTTGTTAGTGAGTACATTAAGCATTTGCCACATTTTTTCCCCTGGAACACTGCTGAGTTCTAAAGGATTTCCCTACTCCAGAAGGAATCATTCTCAACTTAAAAAAAAAAAAAAAGAAGGGAGCTCTGGTGGCCTAGTGGCAAGAAGCTGCACTGCAATCCCAGAGATGTTGTTGTTATGTGCCGTCGAGTTGCCTGCGACTCATAGCGACCCTATGTACAACATCCCTAAACTCCGCTCTGTCCTGTGCCAATCGCACTGTCTCTGACACTCCCATCCCAATTATCCCAGTCACTGAATCAATCCACCTCATAGAGGGCCTTCCCCTCCTGCACTGTCCCTCCACCCTCCCAAGCATGATGTCCCTCTCTAAGGACCGGTTTCTCCTCACAACATGTCCAAAGTATGTTAGACGGAGCCTCAGAATCCTTGCCTCCAAGGAGCCACCCGGTTTAACCCTTTCCAGGACAAATCTGTTTGTTTTCCTAGCAGTCCATGGTATTCTCAATACTCTTCTCCAGCACCACAGCTCAAAGGCATCAATTCTCCTTCTATCCGCCTAGGTCATTGTCCAACTCTCTGATGCATAACAGGTGATTGCAAAGACCACGGCCTGTATCAGACTCATCTTAGTCTCCAGAGAGATACCATTGCTCTTCAGCACTTTGGAGAGGTTCCTAACAGCAGACTTTCCCATGGCAATGAGCCTTTTAATTTCCTGGCTGCTGGTGCCAAGACTGTTGACTATGGAGCCAAGCAAACTAATGCTGTGTACAATCTCAATCTCTTCACCATCCATCCTGATGACGTGGTTCAAATCCACCAGATGCTCTGCTGGAGAAGGAGGGACAATCTTCTCCTGTACCAGTCAGATCTGATTTGACGGTACACACACACACACACAAAATAAAATAGTAAAAAAAAGGTTATCCATTGAGTTACCAACCAAAATGCTGGCAGTTCAAACCCACTGAGACACAAGTCAGAAACATGGGCTAGTGGTCTGCATCTGAAAGGCCACAGCCTTAAAACACGTAAGGAGCCATTCTACTCTGAACACAGTGGGTCGCCATCAGCTGGAAGCTAACAGCAGCCTTCTAGGGGAGATGCAGGAGGGGTCCAGGGAGAGGAGAGGGAGAGGGACAGCGAGGGGTAGGACGACTCTACCTTCTAGTGACCAAGGGTCATGGTGACATCAACCATGGCAACCATCACTAGATCAGTAATATTTATGGGCATTTAGAACTGAACCTCTCATGTAAATGTCCCCTTGACTGTTGCCTCAATTAAAGGTCCCTACGAGCAGGTAGGCAAATGAAAACTCCTACAGTAAATCTGGCTCCAAGGAGGAGCCTGGCTGAGTCAGAATCAGGGCCGGGTGGGGTACGGCATTTGGGTAAGCAATGGGGGTACGCATTCCCACCCACCTAGAGAAAAGGTCAATCACAGTTGTTGTTGTTGTTGTTGTTGTTGTTGTTGTTATGTGCCATCGAGTTGCCTGAGACGCATAGTGACCCTATGTACAACAGCCCTAAACCCTGCCCTATCCCTCGCCAATCTTATTGTCTCCGACACACCCATCCTCATTATGCCAGTGGAATCAATCCATCTCATCCAGAGTCTTCCTCTCCTGCACTGTCCCTCCACACTCCCAAGCATGACGTCCCTCTCCAAGAACTGATCTCACCTTGCAACATGCCCAAAGTATGTCAGACGAAGCCTCAGAATCCTTGCCTCCAAGGAGCAGCCTGGCTTCACCCTCTCCAGGACGAACTTGTTCATTCTCCTAACAGTCCATGGTACATTCAATACTCTTCTCCAGCACCACAGCTCAAAGGCATCAACTCTCCTTCTACCATCCCTAGTCATTGCCCAGCTCTCTGATACATAGCAAGTAATTGCAAAGAGCATGGCCTGGATCAAGCACACCTTAGTTACCAGACTGACATCATTGCTATTCAGTACTTTGGAGAGGTCTCTGACAGTGGACTTTCCCAGTGTAATTAGTCTTTTAATTTCTTGGCTGCTGGTACCAAGAGTCCCAGTGTCAGTCACAGTAGGATAATCATATTTCCTTAAGGACTGTCCCTGCATCACATAATTGGTGAATCTTTTACATGAGACAGCTATGTGGCCCTCAGAGCTGGAGAAAGCCCTAAACTTCTTCACGTGCCTCAGAGCCCCTCTGCAGGACAGAGTTCAACTGCCTTCCAGGTTTCAGAGGCAGTAAATCTTTACCAAAGAAACTGCCTCGTCCTTCTCCCGAGAAGCCACTGGTGGGTTCAAATCATTGATCATCTGCTAAGCAGTTCAGCCCTGAACCCCACTGCACCACCAGGGTTCCTGAGGAAAGCCCTCAGCTCCACTCTGCTGTTGAATCCTAACTGACTCCTAGCTGACTTTCCAGGGGGGTTCCAGACAGTGTAGATGACAGAGGAGAAGAATGCCCATCTTTCTCGGTTAGAGCAGCTGGTGGATTCAAGCCACCTACCACTGGGTTGGAAGTACAACTCCTTACCCACAGCTCTCTACAAAAAACCCTGGAAGAACTGAAATCTCTCTGGCCAGGTGTCTGCTTCCTAGTAAGCTGTGGCTGCTTCATGGAACTGCTTCTGACACCTCACTCACCCAGGTGAGCTCAGAAGGCTTGAAAGAGATTCTCACCTTCTTAGTGTGACTTAGCCAGGCTGCCCGCACCTCCTCTGGACACATTAGCTGAAACTGAGTTAGTCCCTACTTCACTGTGTCAGAGCCACACATCTGCACATACCCAGAGCTGCAAAGCTTTGCTCGACCAGGACCAGGAAACACAGAGCGGGCAGGGAGCTGGGCACTGAATCTGCATGGATGGGGACACCAGCGGTGGCGAGGGCAGTCCTACCTGCCTTCTCCTTGATGATGGCCCAGTCCTCGAAGCTCTCAATGTGCTCCTTCAGGCGGGAGCAGAGCTGCACGTTGCCCACATAGTCCAGCAGTACATCGATGATGGGTCCCGCCCAGCGGCTCACCTCCGGGGCCGAGAGGATCTCGCAGAACTGGAAAAGAGAGCACACCTCAGCTTCTGGAGCTCATCCTACAGGTGGGGAACCTGAGGCTGAGAAGGGCAGGAGGCATGTACAAGGATAAATGCTGGGCATTTACCCAGATAGGACCCAGCTCCAGAAATTCTCCACACAGGCTGCAGCTGCCTGTGGAGGTCATATTGATGGTTTTACTAAGCCTTAACTTCCTTGTCTGTAAAATGGGTATACTAGTACCAGTCATCACTGAGTTCATTCCAACCCAGAGTGACCTCAAGAATTTCAGAGCGGAATTGAGTTCTGCAGGATTTTCAAGTGGTCCCACAGACTTGCCTTCCAAGGGGCATCTGGGTGGATTAAAGCCAATCTTTTGGTTATCAGCTGAGCATACTGTTTGTACTATCCAGAGAATCCCTAAGATGGGTATATGGACACTATGGTAATTTGAGACCTCTGATGATGTAGCCAATAGGGTATTGCATAGCTAACCCCAATGTGGTACCTCTCTGGTGGTTCAAATCCACCACTATCTCCACAGACAGATAGACAATCTCTTCTCATATGATACTGCCTCTGAAAACCCGCTGGAGGGTCAGCTATGGGTCAGTTCCAACTCAATGGTACACGAGAAGAACATAGCCAATGTTAGATGGATCTTAGCTGAAAGCAGAGCTGTTGTTATTGCTGTTATGTGCCATCGAATCACCTGCGACTCATAGCAACTCTCTGTACAACAGCCCTAAATCCTGCTCTATCCTGTGCCAGTCTTATTGTCTCTGACACACCTACCCCCATTCCCCCAGTCACTGAATCAATACATCTCATAAAGGGTCTTCCTCTCCTGCACTGTTCCTCCACCCTCCAAACCATGGCATCCCTCTCCAAAGACTGGTCCCTCCTTGAAACACGTCCAAAGTAATGTCAGACGAAGCTTCAGAACCCTTGCTTCCAAGGAGCAGCCTGGTCTCACCCTCTCTAGGTTGAACCTGTTTGTTCTAACAGTTCATGGTATATTTAATACTCTTCTCCAGCACTATAACTCAAAAGTATCAGTTCTCTTTCTATCATCTCTAGTCATTTTCCAGCTTTCTGTTGCATAATAAGTAATTGCAAAGACTATGGCCTGGAGCAGGCACACCTTAGTCTCCAGACTGACATCGTTGCTCTTCAGTACTTTGAAGAGGTCTCTGACAGTAGACTTTCCCAATGCAATTCATCTTTTAATTTTCTGGCTGCTGGTACAAAGACTGTTGATTCTGGAGCCAAGCAAACTAAAGCTGTTAACAATCTCAATCTCTTCAACATCTATCATGATGTTGCCAATCAGCCCAGTGGTGAAAATCTTTGTTTTCTTGATGTTGAGCTTCAATCCATACTGAAGGCTGCAGTCCTTGACCTTCTGCAACAGTGTTTCAGGTCCTCCTCAGTTTCAGCAAGCAGGGTTGTCTTATCTACATAACACAGATTGTTGATGAGTCTTTCTCCAATCCTGATGCCACATTTCTCCTCTTAGAGCCCAGCCTCCTGGATAATCTGTTCTGCATATAGATTGAAAAGGTATGGAGATAGGACACATCCCTGGCCTACACCCTTCCCTATTTTGAGCCATGCAATGTTTTTTTTGCTCTGTTCTGACGACTGTCTCCTGGTCCAAGTATAGGTTTCACATAAGTACAATCAAGTGTTCTGGGACTCCCATTCAGAGTCAGACACAGTTTGTTGTGACCCACACAGTCAAATGCCTTTGCATAGTCAACGAAACACAGACATTCTTTTGGTACTTCCTGCTTTAGCCAAGATCCATCTAACATTAGCTATAATATCCCTAACACCCTGGCCTCTTCTAAACCCAGCCTGCACTTCAGGCAGTTCTCTGCTGATGTGCTGTTCCAGTCGTTTTTTGATAATCTTCATCAGAATCTTGCTTGCATGTAGTATCAATGATACTGTTCAAAAATTTCTGCACTCAGTTGGGTAGCATCCTATCTTCATACTGTTTAAATCTTTATGCAGAACAGACTACTTAGGAGACTAGATTTTTTTAAGGAGGAAAGTGGCATCAGGATTGGAGGAAAACTCATCAAAAAATGACATTATACAGATGAAACAACCTTGCTTGCTGAAACTGAGGAGGACCAAAAATGTTTGCTGCAGTAGGTCAGGGACTACAGTCTTCAATATGAATTGAAGCTTAACACCAAGAAAACAAAGGTTCTCACCATTGCATCAATTGGCAGCACCATGATAGATGGAGAAGAGACTGAGATTGTTAATAATATTAGCTTACCA